GGCGGCTGCGCGCTCTGGCCGCGGCCAAAGGCGAGTGGACGTGCGGCGTGCTGCTGACCGCCCTGGAGCGGCTGGAGGGGCCGCCGCGGCCGGGGCCCTTCGGTGAGTGACCGCTCCGATGTCCGGCCGGGCCCTTCGGTGAGTGACCGCTCGCTGTCCGGCCGGGCCCTTCGGGGAGTGACCACTCCAATGTCCGGCCGGGCCGGGGCCCTTCGGTGAGTGACCGCTCCGATGTCCGGCCGGGCCGGGGCCCTTCGGGGAGTGACCGCTCACTGTCCGGCCGGGGCCCTTCGGTGAGTGACCGCTCACTGGTGAGTGACCGCTGCAATGTCCGGCCAGGCTGGGGCCCTTTGGTGAGTGACCACTCGCTGTCCGGCCAACGGGTGGTGGTCACTGCAGGGGTCACTCCAGCGGTCACTCCAGGGGTCATTTTGGGGATTTTCCCAATTTTTATGGCTCCAAACTTCAGGGAGTGACCACTCCAATGTCTAGCCATGATCTGGGAGGGGTCAGTGCCCAGTGGTCACTCCAGTGGTCACTCCAGCGGTCACTCCAATGGTCACTCCAGTGGTCACTCCAGTGGTCACTGCAGTGGTCACTGCAGTGGTCTCTCCAGTGGTCACTCCAGTGGTCACTCCAGTGGTCATTTTCCCCTTTTTCCCAGATTTCTACGACCCGCAGCGCGACGCCGCCCCCGCGCACCGCTCGGACTGTCCGTGCTGCCGGCCCCAGGAGGAGGAGGAGGAGCCCAGAGCCGGGGAGGAAGGCCCCGAGGAGGAGGAGGAGGAGCCCAAATTTGGGGATGAAGGCCTCGAGGAGGAGGAGGAGGGAGAACCCAAAAACGAGGAAGAAAACCCCGAGGATGATGAAGGAGAACCCCAAAACGAGGATGAAGGCCCCGAGGATGATGAAGGAGGCGAGGAAGGCCCCGAGGATGATGAAGAAGCCACATTTGGGGATGAAGGCCCCGAGGATGATGAAGGAGAACCCCAAAACGAGGATGAAGGCCCCGAGGATGATGATGGAGGTGATGAAGGCCCCGAGGATGATGAAGGTGGAGGCGACGAAGGCCCCGAGGATGATGATGGTGGAGGAGGGGATGAAGATTAACGGGGGGAGGGGCTGAGGAGGAGGAGGAGGGTGGGGAGGAAGATGATGGAGGAGATGATGGTGAGGCTGAAGATGAGGAGGAATTTTGGGCCTCCATGATGATGAAGATGATGATGATGATGGTCTCCATGATGATGATGATGAGGATGAAGATGAGGAGGAATTTTGGGCCAAAAAAAGCCCAAAATGGACACTGGGGCCTCCATGATGATGACGATGATGAAGATGATGATGAGGGTGATGAAGATGATGATGATGATGATGATGGTCTCCATGATGATGATGATGAGGATGAAGATGAGGAGGAATTTTGGGTCAAAAAATGCCCAAAATGGACACTTGGGTTGCGATGAAGATGATGGAGATGAAGATGATGAAGATGAGGAGGAATTTTGGGTCAAAACCAGCCCAAAATGGAGACCTGGTCCTCCACTTTGATGAAGATGAAGATGATGAAGATGAGGAGATATTTTGGGTCAGACAAAGCCCAAATTGGACACTTAGGTCGTGATGAAGACGATGGAGATGAAGATGATGATGATGATGATGATGATGAAGATGAGGAGGAATTTTGGGTCAAAAAAAGCCCAAAATGGAGCTTTGGGCCTCCATGATGATGAGGATGATGATGAGGATGATGATGATGAAGATGGCCTCCATGATGATGATGATGAAGATGAATTTTGGGTCAAAAAAAGCCCAAATTGGACACTTGGTCCTCCACGATGATGAAGATGAAGATGAAGATGATGAGGATGATGAATTTCGGGTCAAAAAATGCCCAAATTGGGCCTTGTCCCACCCCACCCCCACCCGGAGCCTTCCTCCCTCCCCTCCTCCCCCTCGCCCCGCCCCCAATAAAGCGGGGGTTCCACGACCCAAAACCCAACCATGGAAGGTTCTCCATGGTTCCCATGACCAAACCCCAACTTTTAAGAGTTCTCCACAATTTTAATGACCAAAAAGTCCAACTTAGGAGGGTTCTCCTTGGATTTAACGCTGAAAAGCCAACTTTTAGGGGTTCCACGACCCAAAAGTCCAACTTTTGACGCTTCTCCTTGGTTTCAATGACCAAAACCCAACTCTGGAAGGTTCTCCATGACTTTAATGACCAAAACCCAACTTCTAAGAGTTCTCCACAACTTTAATGACCTAAAAGTCCAACTTTTGAGGGTTCTCCTTGGTTTCAAGACCGATGATGAAGATGAAGATGAAGATGATGAGGATGATGAATTTCGGGTCAAAAAATGCCCAAATTGGGCCTTGTCCCACCCCACCCCCACCCGGAGCCTTCCTCCCTCCCCTCCTCCCCCTCGCCCCGCCCCCAATAAAGCCCCGCCCCCAATAAAGCCCCGCCCACTCCGCGTTGTAACCAAACCCCAACTTTTAAGATTTCTCCACACTTTTAATGACCAAAAAGTCCAACTTTCGAGGGTTTTCCTTGGTTTTAATGACCAAAACCCAACTTTTAAGAGTTCTCCACAACTTTAATGACCTAAAAGTCCAACTTTTGAGGGTTTTCCTTGCTTTTAATGACTTTTGAGGGTTCTCCTTGACCTCCATGACCAAAACCCAACTCTGGCAGGTTCTCCATGATTTTAATGACCAAAACCTAACTTTGAAGAGTTCTCCACAATTTTAATGACCAAAAAGTCCAACTTTTGAGGGTTCTCCTTGGTTTCAATGACCAAAAAGTCCAACTTTTGAGGATTCTCCATGATTTTAATGACCAAAACCCAACTTTTGAGGATTCTCCTTGACCTCGATGACCAAAACCCAACTCTGGAAGGTTCTCCATGACTTTAATGACCAAAACCTAACTTTGAAGAGTTCTCCACAATTTTAATGACCTAAAAGTCCAACTTTTGAGGGTTTTCCTTGGTTTTAATGACCAAAACCCAACTTTTGAGGATTCTCCTTGGTTTCAATGACCAAAACCCAACTTTTGAGGGTTCTCCTTGACCTCCATGACCAAAACCCAACTCTGGCAGGTTCTCCATGATTTTAATGACCAAAACCCAACTTTTAGGGGTTCCACGACCCCAAAGTCCAACCTTTGAGGGTTCTCCAGGGTTCCCACGAGCAGAACCAGCTCTGGGGGCTCTGCCGGCCCCCCGTGAGCCGCGTGGGGCTCGGGGGGTTCCCCCGAAGCCCCCCTAGATGCGGAAGCTCTCGGCCTTGCCGTCGATGTGCCGCAGCCGCAGGTAGACGTCGGTGCCGACGCCCTGCAGCGACTGCAGCACCAGCGACCCCCCCAGGTACTCGGCGTAGGCGCGCGACGTCGGCAGCCCGAAGCCGAACCTGGGGGCACCAGAAATAACAAAAAGTGGCCCCAAAATGGTCCCAAAATCCCAGAAAAGTCCCCCAAAAAATACCCTAAAATACCCACCCCAAAAACCCGACAATCCCACCCCAAAAACCCCAAATCCCACCCCAAAAACCCCCAAATTTACCCCGAGGCTGAACCTGCGGGGCACCAAAAATAACAAAAAGTGGCCTCAAAATGGTCCCAAAATCCCAGAAAAGTCCCCCAAAAAAATACCCCGAAATCCCCACCATAAACCTGAAAATCCCACACCAAAAACCCCACCAAAATCCCCAAATCCCACCCCAAAAACCCCAAATTCCCCAAATTTTCCCCGAAGCCGAACCTGGGGGGCACCAGAAAGGAAATTCCCCCCAAACCGCGGGCACCTCATGGCGTTCTTGAGCAGCTCGGGCAGGACGTAGTCCAGGGGCAGCGGGATGAACGGGAAGCGCGCCGCCACGTGCCCGTTGATGCGCACACGGGGAGCGTTCCCGTACTGGTGTTCACATAAACGCCTGGGACACGCGTGTGACACACGTGTGACACACCTGAGTGACACCCGTGTCACCTGTCCTGTCAGTCACTGTCACCCCCTGTCACTCAGTGTCACTCGGTGTCCCTGTCCCGTGCCCGTTGATGCGCACACGCGGGGCGTTCCCGTACTGGTGCTCACACAAACGCCTGGAACACGCGTGTGACACACGTGTGACAGGTGTGACACACCTGAGTGACCCGTCCTGTCACCCCCTGTCACTCAGTGTCACTCAGTGTCACCCCGTGTCACTCGGTGTCCCGTGCCCGTTGATGCGCACACGCGGGGCGTTCCCGTACTGGTGCTCACACAAACGCCTGGAACACGCGTGTGACACACGTGTGACACACCTGAGTGACCTGTCCTGTCAGTCACTGTCACCCCGTGTCACTCGGTGCCACCCCCTGTCACGGGCACACCTGGGACAGGTGTGACTCACCTGTGTCACCTCACCTGTGTCACCTGTCCTGTCTGTCGCCGTCACCTGGGGTCCCCAGGTGTGCCCAGGTGTGTCTCAGGTGTGTTTTTACCCCCCAGGTGTGTTTTGGGTGTATCCCAGGTGTGCCCAGGTGTGCCCAGGTGTGTCTCAGGTGTGCCCAGGTGTGTTTTGGGTGTGTTTTGGTGTATTTTGGGGGTGTCCCAGGTGTGTCTCAGGTGTATTTGGGTGTATTTTGGGTGTGTTTTGGGTGTATTTGGGTGTGTCCCAGGTGCGCTCACCTGGCGAAGTCCACCCACTTCTCGATGAGTTTGGGTGTATTTCAGGTGTATTTGGGTGTGTTCAGGTGTGTTTGGGTGTGTCTCAGGTGTGTCTCCCCACTTCTCGATGAGTATTTCGGGTGTATTTCGGGTGTATTTCTCACCTGGCGAAGTCCACCCACTTCTCGATGAGTTTGGGTGTGTTTTGGGTGTATTTCAGGTGTATTTTGGGTGTATTTTGGGTTATTTTGGGTTACCTGGCGAAGTCCACCCACTTCTCGATGAGTTTCTTGGGCGACAGGCGCGTGCAGATGATGCCGACGAAATCCGGCTGCGGGTCGGGGGGAAAAGGGGGAAAAACGGGAAAAGTGAGAGAAAGCAGTGAAAAGTGAGAGAAAAACGGGAATTTGGGGGAACCGGGGGAAACTGGGGGAGATTTGGGGGAATTTGGGAAAAAATGGGGGAAAAATAAGAAAAAAAAAGGGAAAAATGAGAAAAAATGGGGAAAAATTGGGAAAAAATGGGAGAAAATTTGGAGAAATTTGGCAAGAAAATGGGGAAAAATGGGGAAAAATGAAAAAAAAAGAGAAAAAAAGTGGAAAAATTTGGGAAAAATGGGGAAAAATGAGAAAAAATGGGGAAAAATTGGGAAAAACGGAGAAATTTGGGGGAAAATGGAGGAAAATGAGAAAAAAACAGGGAAAAAATGGGAAAATTGGGAAAAAATGGGGAAAAATGGGGAAAATTTGGGGGAAATTTGGAAAAAATGAGGGAAAAATAAGAAAAAAGGGAAAAGGGAAAAATGAGAAAAAACGGGGAAAATTTGGGAAAATTAGGAAAAGTGGGGAAATTTGGGGAAAAACAGGAAAAAATAGGGAGAAAAAAGGAAAAAAAAAGAGAAAAAATTGGGGAAATCGGGGAAAAATGGGGAACATTTGGGGGAAAATGGGGAAAATTTGGGGAAAATTGGGAAAAAATGGGGAACATTTGGGGAAAATTGGGAAAAAATGGGGAAAAATGAGAAAAAACGGGGAAAAATTTGGGAAAATTGGGGAAAAACGTGGAAAAATTAGGAAAGAACTGGGAAAAATTGGAAAAAATTAGGAAAAATTTGGGAAAATTTTGGGAAAATTGGTAAAAAATAGGGACAATTTGATATGAACTTGGAAAAAAATTGGGGGGGAAATTGGGAAAAATTTTGGAAAAAGAATAAATAAAAAAGGGGAAATGAGAGAAATGGAAAAAATGTGGAAAAATTGGGAAAATTAGAGAGAAATTTGGGGAAAATTTGGGGAAATTTGGGAAAAATTGGGGAAAATTTAGGGGAAAATTCAGAAAAATGGAGGAAAATTGGGGAAAATTTGGGGGAAATGGAGAAAAATTTGGGGAAATTGGGAAAAATGGGGGGAAAATGAGGAAAAAGGGAAAATTTGGGAAAATTAGGAAAAGTGGGGAAATTTGGGGAAAAACAGGAAAAAATAGGGAGAAAAAAGGAAAAAAAAAGAGAAAAAATTGGGGAAATCGGGGAAAAATGGGGAAAATTTGGGGAAAAATGGAGAAAAATAGGGAAAAATGAGAAAAAAAAAGATGAAAATTTTTGGAAAATTGCGGGAAATGGGGAAAATTCGAGGAAAAATGGGGGGAAATGGGGAAAATTTGGGGAAATTTGGGAAAAATTGGGGAAAATTTAGGGGAAAATTCAGAAAAATGGAGGAAAATTGGGGAAAATTTGGGGGAAATGGAGAAAAATTTGGGGAAATTGGGAAAAATGGGGGGAAATGGGGAAAATTTGGGGGAAATGGAGAAAAATGGGGGGAAATTGGGAGAAATGGGGGGAAATCAGGGAAAACTGGGATGAATGACCTGACACACCTGGACAGGTGATTCACCTGTACTGTCACACCTGTACTGACACACCTGTGCCTGTCACACCTGTCCAGGTGAGCTCACCCTGTCCTCATGCAGCGCCAGGTGATTTACCTGTACTGACACACCTGTACTGACACACCTGCACAGGTGATTTACCTGTGCCCAGGTGAGCTCACCTTGTCCTCGTGCAGCGCCAGGTGACTCACCTGTATTGGCACACCTGTGCCTGTCACACCTGTGCCCAGGTGATTCACCTGTACTGTCACACCTGCACAGGTGATTTACCTGTGCCTGTCACACCTGTACTGACACACCTGTACCTGTGTTACCTGTGCCCAGGTGAGCCCACCCTGTCCTCATGCAGCACCAGGTGATTCACCTGTACTGACACACCTGTGCCTGTCACACCTGTGCCCAGGTGATCTATGGGTACCTGTCACACCTGACACACCTGTCCCCAGGTGAGCTCACCTTGTCCTCGTGCAGCGCCAGGTGATGCGCCGCCAGCATCCGCATGCCCAGGCGCGACGTCAGCGTCTTGTCCAGGAACGGCCGCAGCAGCCGCTCATCCTGACAGGGGAGACACAGGTGAGACCAGACAGGTGAGACAGGTGTGCTATAACTGCCCCAGGTGTGTTAGAGCTGCCCCAGGTGTGCTGTACCTGCCCCAGGTGTGTTATATCTGCCCCCATGCGTGTTTTAACTGCCCCAGGTGTGCCCAGGTGTGTTATGGGTATCCACAGGTGAGATCAGACAGGTGAGATCAGACAGGTGAGATCAGACAGGTGAGATCAGACAGGTGAGAGACAGGTGAGATCACACAGGTGAGATCAGACAGGTGAGAGACAGATGAGAGACAGGTGTGTGTGGGTGTGTCTCAGGTGTGTCCCAGGTGTGTCCCAGTTACCTGTATGTGCCTGCGGCACTCCCTCAGCCCCTCGGCCAGCAGCGTCACCACGTCCTTGTGATCCTCCAGCAGCTGCCGCAGCAGCGCGCAGTACTGCGCCTCGTCGCTGCGCACCTGGATCTGTGCAGGTAACACAGGTAACACAGGTGAGAGACTGACAGGTGTGACAGTGACAGCGCTGCGCCTCGTCGCTGCGCACCTGGATCTGCAGGTGAGATACAGGTGAGACAGAGAAAGGTCAGACACAGACAGGTCAGACACAGACAGGTGAGACAGGTGAGACAGAGACAGGTGAGACAGGTGAGACAGAGACAGGTCAGACACAGACAGGTGAGACAGGTGAGACACAGACAGGTGAGACACAGACAGGTGAGACACAGACAGGTGTGAGACAGGTGAGACAGACAAGTGTGAGACAGGTGAAGCACAGACAGGTGAGACACAGACAGGTGTGACAGTGACAGCGACAGCGCTGCGCCTTGTCGCTGCGCACCTGGATCTGCAGGTGAGACAGGTGAGACACAGACAGGTGAGACACAGACAGGTGAGACACAGACAGGTCAGACACAGACAGGTCAGACACAGACAGGTGAGACACAGACAGGTGAGACACAGACAGGTGAGACACAGACAGGTGAGACACAGACAGGTGAGACACAGACAGGTGAGACACAGACAGGTGAGACACAGACAGAGGTGAGACACAGACAGGTCAGACACAGACAGGTGAGACACAGACAGGTGAGACACAGACAGGTGAGACACAGACAGGTGAGATCAGACAGGTGAGACACAGACAGGTGAGACACAGACAGGTGAGACACAGACAGGTGAGACACTGACAGGTCAGACACAGACAGGTGTGACAGGTGACACAGGCGTGACTCAGGTGTGATGCACCCGTGACAGCAACTCGCAGGACTGGGAATCATCGCTGCACACCTGGATCTGGCCAGGTGTGTCCCTCACACCCCCAGGTGTGCCCCCAGGTGTGCCCAGGTGGCCCCCAGGTGTGTCACTCCCTCACTCACCGGGGGGAAGTCGCTCAGTTTCTGGAAGGCGCGGATGTACAGCTCGTGCTGGGGGGGGAACATCAGAGAATTACGGGGATTTCGGGGGATTTTGGGGAATTTTATGGAATTTTATGGAAATTTTCAGGAAATTTCCGGGAATTTTTGGGATTTTAGCGGAATTTTTGGGAACTTTTAGGAATTTTATGGAAATTTTTCGGAATTCTGGGGAATTTAGGGGAATTTTTGGGAATTTTCTGGAAATTTTTGGGAATTCTGGGGAATTTAGGGGAATTTTTAGGAATTTTCTGGAAATTTTTGGGAATTTTATGGAAATTTTTGGGAATTTCAGGGAATTTTTGGGAATTTTCTGGAAACTTTGGGGAATTTTTAGGAATTTTATTGAAATTTTTGGGAATTTCAGGGAATTTTTGGGAATTTTCTGGAAACTTTGGGGAATTTTTAGGAATTTTATTGAAATTTTTGGGAATTTCAGGGAATTTTTGGGAATTTTCTGGAAATTTTGGGGAATTTTATTGAAATTTTTGGGAATTTCAGGGAATTTTTGGGAATTTTCTGGAAATTTTGGGGAATTTTATTGAAATTTTTGGGAATTTCAGGGAATTTTTGGGAATTTTCTGGAAATTTTGGGGAATTTTATTGAAATTTTTGGGAATTTCAGGGAATTTTTGGGAATTTTCTGGAAATTTTGGGGAATTTTATTGAAATTTTTGGGAATTTCAGGGAATTTTTGGGAATTTTCTGGAAATTTTGGGGAATTTTATTGAAATTTTTGGGAATTTCAGGGAATTTTTGGGAATTTTCTGGAAATTTTGGGGAATTTTATTGAAATTTTTGGGAATTTCAGGGAATTTTTGGGAATTTTCTGGAAATTTTGGGGAATTTTATTGAAATTTTTGGGAATTTCAGGGAATTTTTGGGAATTTTCTGGAAATTTTGGGGAATTTTATTGAAATTTTTGGGAATTTCAGGGAATTTTTGGGAATTTTCTGGAAATTTTGGGGAATTTTATTGAAATTTTTGGGAATTTCAGGGAATTTTTGGGAATTTTCTGGAAATTTTGGGGAATTTTATTGAAATTTTTGGGAATTTCAGGGAATTTTTGGGAATTTTCTGGAAATTTTGGGGAATTTTATTGAAATTTTTGGGAATTTCAGGGAATTTTTGGGAATTTTCTGGAAATTTTGGGGAATTTTATTGAAATTTTTGGGAATTTCAGGGAATTTTTGGGAATTTTCTGGAAATTTTGGGGAATTTTATTGAAATTTTTGGGAATTTCAGGGAATTTTTGGGAATTTTCTGGAAATTTTGGGGAATTTTATTGAAATTTTTGGGAATTTCAGGGAATTTTTGGGAATTTTCTGGAAATTTTGGGGAATTTTATTGAAATTTTTGGGAATTTCAGGGAATTTTTGGGAATTTTCTGGAAATTTTGGGGAATTTTATTGAAATTTTTGGGAATTTCAGGGAATTTTTGGGAATTTTCTGGAAATTTTGGGGAATTTTATTGAAATTTTTGGGAATTTCAGGGAATTTTTGGGAATTTTCTGGAAATTTTGGGGAATTTTATTGAAATTTTTGGGAATTTCAGGGAATTTTTGGGAATTTTCTGGAAATTTTGGGGAATTTCAGGTGTGCCCAGGTGTGTTTTTACCCCCCAGGTGTGCCCAGGTGTGTGTGATGACTCCCAGGTGTGCCCAGGTGTGCCCAGGTGTGTTTTTACCCCCCAGGTGTGCCCAGGTGTGTGTGATGACTCCCAGGTGTGCCCAGGTGTGCCCAGGTGTGTTTTTACCCCCCAGGTGTGTCTCAGGTGTGCCCAGGTGTGCCCAGGTGTGCCCCCAGGTGTGTCTCAGGTGTGCCCAGGTGTGTCCAGGTGTGCCCCCAGGTGTGTCACTCCCTCACTCACCGGGGGGAAGTCGCTCAGTTTCTGGAAGGCGCGGATGTACAGCTCGTGCTGGGGGGAACACGGCACACAATTACGGGGATTCCGGGGGATTTTGGGAATTTTTGGGAATTTTAGCGGAATTTTTGGGAACTTTTAGGAATTTTATGGAAATTTTTGGGAATTCTGGGGAATTTATTGGGAACTTTTATTAATTTTATTTAAATTTTTCGGAATTCTGGGGAATTTAGGGGAATTTTTGGGAATTTTCTGGAAATTTTTGGGAATTTTATGGAAATTTTTGGGAATTTCAGGGAATTTTTTGGAATTTTCTGGAAACCTTGGGGAATTTTTAGGAATTTTATTGAAATTTTTGGGAATTTCAGGGAATTTTTGGGAATTTTCTGGAAATTTTGGGGAATTTTATTGAAATTTTTGGGAATTTTCTGGAATTTTTAGGAATTTTCTAGAAATTTTGGGGAATTTTGTAGGAATTTTATGTCAATTTTTGGGAAATTTTCAGTAATTTTATGGAAAAAATTTTTGGGAATTCTGGGGAATTTAGGGGAATTTTTGGGAATTTTCTGTAAATTTTTGGGAATTCTGGGGAATTTAGGGGAATTTTTGGGAATTTTCTGGAAATTTTTGGGAATTTTATGGAAATTTTTGGGAATTTCAGGGAATTTTTTGGAATTTTCTGGAAACCTTGGGGAATTTTTAGGAATTTTATTGAAATTTTTGGGAATTTTCTGGAATTTTTAGGAATTTTCTAGATATTTGGGGGATTTTTTGGGAATTTTATGGAAATTTTGGGGAATTTTGTAGGAATTTTATGGCAATTTTTGGGAAATTTTCAGTAATTTTATGGAAATTTTGGGAAATTTTATGGAAATTTTGGGGAATTTTTAGGAATTTTTAGGAATTTTATGGCAATTTTTGGGGAATTTTCAGTAATTTTATGGAAATTTGGGGGAATTTTGGGGAGAAATTTTTGGGAATTTCAGGGAATTTTTGGGAATTTTCTGGAAACTTTGGGGAATTTTTAGGAATTTTATTGAAATTTTTGGGAATTTCAGGGAATTTTTGGGAATTTTCTGGAAACTTTGGGGAATTTTTAGGAATTTTATTGAAATTTTTGGGAATTTCAGGGAATTTTTGGGAATTTTCTGGAAACTTTGGGGAATTTTTAGGAATTTTATTGAAATTTTTGGGAATTTTCTGGAATTTTTAGGAATTTTCTAGAAATTTTGGGGAATTTTGTAGGAATTTTATGTCAATTTTTGGGAAATTTTCAGTAATTTTATGGAAATTTTGGGAAATTTTATGGAAATTTTGGGGAATTTTTAGGAATTTTTAGGAATTTTATGGCAATTTTTGGGGAATTTTCAGTAATTTTATGGAAATTTGGGGGAATTTGGGGGAATTTTGGGGAATTTGGGGAATTTCTGGAAAATTTTGGGAATTTTGGGGAAATTCTGGAAAATTTTGGGAATTTTGGGGAATTTTCTGGAAATTTTCTGGAATTTTTCGGGAATTTTGGGATTTCTTGGGAATTTTGCAATCCCACCCCCAAGAATTTTGGGAATTCCCAAAAAATTTTTGGTAATTTGGAGAATTTTTTTTGAAATTTTGGGAATTTCAGGATTTCCCTTAAAAATTTTTGGGAATTCTGCGCAAATTATGGCAATTTTTGGGGAATTTTCAGTAATTTTATGGAAATTTGGGGGAATTTTGGGGAATTTCGGGAAAATTTTGGGAATTTTGGGGAATTTTCTGGAAATTTTCTGGAATTTTTCGGGAATTTTGGGATTTCTTGGGAATTTTGCAATCCCACCCCCAAGAATTTTGGGAATTCCCAAAAAATTTTTGGTAATTTGGAGAATTTTTTTTGAAATTTTGGGAATTTCAGGATTTCCCTTAAAAATTTTTGGGAATTCTGCGCAAATTTTGGGAATTCCCTGGGAAACTTTTGGGATTATTTTGGGAATATTTTGGATTTTTTTTTCCCAATTTTTTTATTTTTTTTAATCTTGTCAATTTTGGGATTCCCTTAAAACTTTTGGGAATATTTTGAGGATATTTTGGGAAAAATTTCAGGTAATTTTGGGAAGGATTTTTTTTTTTTAGCAAATTTTTCAGAAATTTTTGGGATTTTCTTTCGGAATTTCAGGAATTTCAACATTCCCTTAAACTTTTTAGGAATATTTTGGGGTCATTTCACCAATTTTTTTTTTTTTGGGAAAAAATTTTTAATTATTTTCTCATAATTTTCACCATTCCCTTGAATTTTTTGGGGAATAATTTGAATTTTCTCCTCGCGATTTTTCCCAAATTTTTTTTTTTTTGGGAAAAAATTTTTAATTATTTTCTCATAATTTTCACCATTCCCTTGAATTTTTTGGGGAATAATTTGAATTTTCTCCTCGCGATTTTTCCCAAATTTTTTTTTTTTTTGGGCTTTCAGGATTTCCGTAAATTTTGGGGGTTATTTTGGGGTGATTTTGGGGAGTTTTGGGGCGTTTCGGGGCTCACCACGTGCAGGATGGTGGGGTTGCAGCCGATGATGAAGGGAAGGTTCCGGAAGCCCTGGATGCGGTGGGCGATGCGCACGGGCAGCTCCTGCTGCAGGTACCGCGCGCTTTTCTGGGCAAAAAACCCCAGTTTTGGGCAAATCCCCAACTTTTATCCTCCCCACAAACCCCTGGGATTTTCACACCCAAGTTTTGGGGGGTTCTGCCCGGCCAAACCCACAGAACTCCCCAAAAAATGCTGAATTTTCACCCCAAAAATATTGAATTTTCCACCCCAAAAATGTTGAATTTTCACCCCCAAAAATGCTGAATTTTCACCCCAAAAATGTTGAATTTTCACCTCAAAAATATTGAATTTTCACCCCAAAAATGCTGAATTTTCACCCCAAAAATGTTGAATTTTCACCCCCAAAAATGCTGAATTTTCAACCCCAAAAGACTGAATTTTCACCCCCAAAATACTCAATTTTCACCCTAAAAGGTTGAATTTTCACCCCAAAAATGTTGAATTTCCATCCCAAAAATGTTGAATTTTCACCCCAAAATTTTTGAATTTACACCCCAAAAATACTGAATTTTCACCCCCAAAAACGTTGAATTTTCACCCCAAATTTTTGAATTTTCACCCCAAAAACGTTGAATTTTCACCCCCAAAATGTTGAATTTTCACCCCAAATTTTGGGCAAATCCCCAACATTTATCCTCCCCACAAACCCCTGGAAATTTGGGGATTTTTAAACCAAATTTTTGGGGGTTTCTGCCCGGCCAAAGCAACAAAATTCCCCAAAAATGCTGAATTTTCAAACCCAAAAATGTTGAAATTTCACCCCACAAATTTTGAACTTTCACCCCAAAAATGTTGAATTTTCACCCCAAAAATGCTGAATTTTCCCGCCACAAATGTTGAATTTTCACCCCAAAATTTTTGAATTTCCACCCCAAAAATGTTGAATTTCCACCCCAGAAATGTTCAATTTCCACCCCAAAAATGTTGAATTTTCACCGCAAATTTGTGACATTTTCCCCCAGATTTTTTACTTTTCACCCCAAATTTTTGAGTTTACACCCCAAATTTTGGATGTTTTACAAAAACGTTGAAATTTCCCCCCAAATTCTGGAGGTTTCACCCCCAAATTTTGGGGACCCCTCCTCCCATTTTCCCCCAAATTTTGGCCTCCCCGACCCCTTTTATCCCCCAAAATTGACAGAATTCCCCCAAATTTTAGGCCCCCTCCCAAATTTTGGGGACCCCTCCTCCCGTTTTCCCCCAAATTTTTGGCCTCCCCAGCCCCTTTTACCCCCCCCAAAATGGACAAAATTCCCCCAAATTTTAGGTCCCCTCCCAAATTTTGGGCAAAATCCACTCAAATAACCCCAAAATCCCCTCAGGGACACCAAAATCCCCTCAGGGACCTCAAAATCCACACAAGGGACCCCAAAATCCACCCAAAGGACCCCAAAAATCCCCTCAGGCACCCCAAAAACCCCTTCAGGGACCCCAAAATCCACCCAAAGAACCCCAAAAATCCCCTCAGGGACCCCAAAAACCCCTTCAGGGACCCCAAAATCCACCCAAAGGACCCCAAAAATCCCCTCAGGGACCCAAAAAATCCCCTCAGGATCCTCCCAAGGGACTCCCCTAAATAAGAGATCCCAAAACCTCCCCAGGGGCCCCAAAATCCCACTCCGGGACCCCCTTTTCCCCTCAAAATCCTACAAAAAAACTGTCAAAACTCCATTTTCCCCTCAGAGTTTCCCCAAAATAAAACCTCCAAATGCCCAGAATCCTGAAAAAGAGGATTTAAGTATCTGGAACCCCATTTTTTACCTCAAAATCCCCGTCCCTAAACTGCCCCAAAACCACTTTTCCCCTCAAGAGTTTCCCCAAAATAAACACTCAGAAGAACCAACACCCCAAAAAAGATGATTTAAGTCGCTGGAACCCCTTTTTTCCCCTCAAAATCCCTCCAAAACCGCTCCAACACTCCCTTTTCTCCTCAGAAATCCCCCAAAAACTGCTCAGGGACCCCTTTTTCCCCTCAAAATCCTCCCAAAAACTACCCCGATTCACTTTTCTCCTCAGAGTTTCCCCAAAATAAAAATTAAAAAGGTCCAGGACCCCTTTTTTCCCCTCAAAATCCCCCCAAAACCGCTCCTGGACCCCCTTTTCCCCTCAGAGTTGCCCCAAAATAGAAACTCAGAAGATAAAGGACACTCCCGTAAGGGGATTTAAGTGTCCCGAACTCCTTTTTTTCTCTCAAATTCACCCCAAAACCGCTCTGGGATCCCCTTTTTTCCTCAGAAATCCCCCAAAAACTGCTCAGGGACCCCCTTTTCCCCTCAGAGTTCCCCCAAAATAGAAACTCAAAATCCCCTCAGATGGTCCAGGACGCCCCTATAAGGGGATTTAAGTGTCCCGAACTCCTTTTTTCCCCTCAAAAATCCCCCCAAAACGGCTCCGGGATCCCCTTTTTTCCTCACAAATCCCCCAAAAACCGTTCGGGGACCCCTTTTTTCCCTCAAAATCACCCCAAAACTACCCCAGAACCACTTTTCCCCTCAGAGTTTCCCCAAAAACAAAATTTAAAAGGTCCGGAACCGCTTTTTTCCCCTCAGAATCCCCCCAAAAAATGCTCTGGGACCCCTATTTTTCCTTCAAAATCCCCCCAAAACCGCTCCGGGACCCCTAAGGTCCGGAACCGCTTTTTTCCCCTCAGAATCCCCCCAAAAAATGCTCTGGGACCCCTTTTTTTCCTTCAAAATATCCCCAAAACCGCTCCGGGACCCCTTTTCCCCTCAGAGTTGCCCCAAAATAGAAACTAAGATGGTCCAGGACGCCCCTCTAAGGGCATTTAAGTATCTGGAACTCCTCTTTTCCCTCAAATTCACCCCAAAACGGCTCCGGAACCCCTTTTTCCCCTCAGCATTCCCCCAAAACTCCTCAGGGACCCCTTTTTCCCTTTAATCCTCCTCTATTCCCACCTCTCCGCCCTCCCTTCTCTCCAACCCCGTGTCCCAAACATAACCCCGGCGTCCGGACACTCCCTTTCTCCCTCAATTTTCCCACAAAAAACCCTTCATTTTTACCCCAAAACCCCTCAAATTTACCCCAAAAAACCTCCCCAATCTCCCCCCTCACCAACCAGCGGCCCCGGGGCCTCCCCGACACCTCCCCCGGGTTCGGCTCCTAATGGACTCGCCCGTTCCCGCCCCTGCCGTTGTTTCCCCCCCCCCCCGCGCGTTCCCCTCAGGGTGGTACGGTCCGGCCGCACTGCGCGTGCGCGGAAGCCTGAGGGGGAGCGGCGGGAAAGCGGCGCCCCCTAGCGGCGGAGGTATGAGGGGGCTCGGTTTATTTTGGGGGAAAAAAATAAGGTTTTGGGATTTTTTCTGAGGGGAAAAAAGGGACCCCAAGCTATAAATCCAAGGATTTTGGGAAAATTTGAGAGGAAAAGGGGCTTCCAGTGCATTTTTTTTTGGGGGGGAAAGGATTTGGGGATTTTTTCTGAGGGGAAATGGGGTCCCCAATCCCGTTCTGAGGGAAAATTGAGGGAGAAAAGGGAATTTCAAATAATAAATTCCCTTTTGGGGCACAACTGAGGGAAAATGGGAATTCCAGAGGCTTTTTGGGGTGAAAATTGAGGGAAAAAAGAAAATCTGGAGCGTTTTTGGTGAAAAAAAAATGAGGGAAAAGGGAATGTCAAAATCTAAATTCCCTTTTTGGGGGAAAATGTTGGGAAAAGGGGTCCCACAAAGGGGTGCTGGGGGATTTTGGACACTTTTTGGTATCTTTTTATCACTTTAATGCAATTTTTGACTCGAAACATTTCAGTGTCAGTTTTGATCAATTTACTGTACGTTTCGATCACTTTAATGCTATTTTTGACTCATTTAAGACGCTTTTCTGTAGCATTTACTCACTTTAATGTCATTTTTATGCATTTTAATGCCATTTTTGACCCTTTTAAGGCACTTTAGTATCACTTTTGGTCACTTTAATGCCATTTTTGATCACTTTAATGCCGTTTTTGGTCACTTTAATGCCACCTTTCATCACTTCAATGCCATTTTGGGTTACTTTAATGCCATTTTTGGTCACTTTTGGCCACTTTAATGCCATTTTTTCTCTATTTAAGACACTTTAATGTAACATTTTCTCCATTTCCTGTAACTTTGCCTCCCTGGACCCCAATTTTGGGTGAATTTCAGTCAGTTTTGGGTCAGTTTTACTCGGTTTTGGGTGGTTTCAGGTCAGCTTCACTCAATTTTGGGTCTTTTTCCATCGGTTTTGGGTCGTTTTGATCAATTTTGAGTAATTTTCGCTTGGTTTTGAGTTGGTTTCACTCAATTTTGGGTCATTTTCACTCAGTTTTGTGTGGATTTCCCTCAGTTTTGGGTGGTTTCAGGTGGATTTCACTCCATTTTGGGTGGATTTCACTCAGTTTTGGAAGAGTTTCACTCAATTTTGGGTCAATTTCTCTCAGTTTTGGGTGATTTCTGGTCAGTTTCAGTCAGTTTTTGGTCATTTTCACTCAACTTTAGGTCATTTTCAGTTGGTTTTGGGTCAGTTTCAGTTTTGGGTCATTTTCTCTCAGTTTTGGGTTGTTTCAGGTTGATTTCACTCCATTTTGGGTCAGTTCCACTCCATTTTGGGTGATTTTCACTCCATTTTGGGTCATTTTCTCTCATTTTTTGTGGATTTTCACTCCATTTTGAGTCAGTTTCACTCAGTTTTGGGTGCATTTTTCTCAGTTTTTGGGTGGTTTCAGGTCGGTTTCACTCCATTTTGGGTCATTTTCACTCCATTTTGGGTCATTTTCACTCCATTTTGGGTCGGTTTCCCTCCATTTTGTGTCGGTTTCCCTCCATTTTGGGTCGTTTTCTCTCCATTTTGGGTGGTTTCAGGTCGGTTTCCCTCCGTTTTGGGTCATTTTCACTCCATTTTGGGTCGTTTTCACTCCGTTTTGGGTGGTTTCAGGTCAGTTTCCCTCCATTTTGGGTTGGTTTCACTCCATTTTGGGTCAGTTTCACTCCATTTTGGGTCTTTTTTCTCAGTTTTGGGTGGTTTCAGGACGGTTTCCCTCCATATTGGGTCAGTTTCCCTCCATTTTGGGTTGGTTTCACTCCATTTTGGGTTGGTTTCACTCCATTTTGGGTCATTTTCACTCCATTTGGGGTCATTTTCACTCCATTTTGGGTCATTTTCACTCCATTTTGGGTCGTTTTCTCTCCATTTTGGGTGGTTTCGCGTCGGGTTCCCTCTATTTTGGGTGGATTTCCCTCCATTTTGGGTCATTCTCTCTCATTTTTGTGTGTTTTCACTCCATTTTGGGTCCATTTCACTCCATTTTGGGTGGATTTTTCTCAGTTTTGGGTGGATTTCTCTCCATTTTGGGTCTGTTTCCCTTCATTTTGGGTTATTCTCTCTCATTTTTGTGTGTTTTCACTCCATTTTGGGTCAGTTTCACTCCATTTTGGGTCATTTTTTCTCAGTTTTGGGTGGTCTCAAGCCGGTTTCCCTCCATTTTGGGTGGATTTCACTCCATTTTGGGTCGGTTTCCCTCCATTTTGGGTCATTTTCTCTCCATTTTGGGTGGATTTCCCTCCATTTTGGGTCCGTTTCACTCCATTTTGGGTCATTTTCACTCATTTTTGTGCGTTTTCCCTGGTTTCCAGCGGCGCAGGTTGAGCCCCAGCAGCGCCAGGTTAACCCCGTAGGTGCTGAGGCAGACCACGCACAGGTCCCCAATGTTTTGGGGCATTTTCTCTGTTTTGGGTCAGTTTCACTCAGTTTTGGGTGCATTTTTCTCAGTTTTGGGTGGTTTGAGGTCGGTTTCCCTCCATTTTGGGCGGATTTCCCTCCATTTTGGGTTCGTTTCACTCTGTTTTGGGTGGATTTTTCCCAGTTTTGGGTGGATTCAGGTCGGTTTCACTCCATTTTGGGTTGGTTTCACTCCATTTTGGGTCTGTTTCCCTCCATTTTGGGTCATTTTCTCTCCATTTTGGGTGGGTTTCCCTCCATTTTGGGTCGGTTTCACTCCATTTTGGGTCATTTTCTCTCCATTTTGGGTGGGTTTCCCTCCATTTTGGGTCGGTTTCACTCCATTTTGGGTCATTTTCTCTCCATTTTGGGTGGTTTCAAGCCGGTTTCCCTCCATTTTGGGCAGATTTCCCTCCATTTTGGGTCATTTTCACTCCATTTTGGCAGATTTTCACTCATTTTTGTGCACTTTCCCTCGTTTCCAGCGGCGCAGGTTGAGCCCCAGCAGCGCCAGGTTAACCCCGTAGGTGCTGAGGCAGACCACGCACAGGTCCCTGAGGCCGAAGAGCAGGACGCCCCCGAGCCACAGCGAGGCCAGCGCCGAGGCCACCGACGTCCCCAGCAGCGTCACCGCGGCCGCCCGGCCCCGGCAGGTGCCTGGGGGAAGCGTCACCGCGGCCGCCCGGCCCCGGCAGGTGCCTGGGGGAGGGGGACAGGGGTCAGGGGGGGCGTGGTGGGCCCGGAGTGCCACCCAGGGGCCACCCAGGGGCCACCCAGGGGCCACCCAGGGGTCACCCAGGGGTCACCCAGGGGTCACCAGTGTCCCCAGAGGGTCTCCAGTGTCCCCAGTCCCTCCCAGTGTAACCAGTTTGTCCCCAGTTGGTCCCCAGTTTGTCCCCAGCTCATTCCCAGTGTTCCCAAAGTGTCCCCAGTCCCTCCCAGTGTCCCCAGTTTGTCCCAGTCCCCCTCCCCAGTCCCTGCCAGTGTCCCCAAATCCCTTCCCAGTCCCTCCCAGTGTCCCCAAATCCCCTCCCAGTCCCTCCCAGTGTCTCAGTGTCCCCAGTGTCCCAGTGTCCCCAATGTCCTCAGTGTCCCAGTCCCTCCCAGTCCCTCCCAGTGTCCCCAGATCCCCTCCCAGTGTCCCTAAATACCTTCCCAGTCCCTGCCAGTGTCCCCAAATCCCTTCCCAGTCCCTCCCAGTGTCCCCAAATCCCCTCCCAGTCCCTCCCAGTGTCTCAGTGTCCCCAGTGTCCCAGTATCCCCAATATCCTCAGTGTCCCAGTCCCTCCCCAGATCCCCTCCCAGTGTCCCTAAATACCTTCCCAGTTCTTCCCAGTGTCCCAGTCCCTCCCAGTGTCCCCAAATCCCCTCCCGGTGTCCCCAGATCCCCTCCCAGTCCCTCCCAGTGTCCCCAAATCCCCTCCCAGTCCCTCCCAGTGTCCCAGTGTCCCAGTCCCTCCCAGTGCCCCCAAATCCTCTCCCAGTGTCCCCAATGTCCCAGTGTCCCAGTGTCCCCAGTGTCCCAGTCCCTCCCAGTCCCTCCCAGTGTCCCTGTCCCCAGTGTCCCCATTGTCCCAATGTCCCCAGTGTCCCTGTCCCTGTGTCCCCAGTCCCTCCCCGTGTCCCCAGTCCCTCCCCGTGTCCCCAATGTCCCCAGTGTCCCAGTGTCCCCAATGTCCCCAGTGTCCCCATGTCCCCAATGTCCCCAGTCCCTCCCAGTGTCCCCAGTTTGTCCCAGTCCCTTCCAGTTTGTTCCAATCCCCTCCCAGTTTGAACCAGTCCCTCCCAATCCCCTCCCAGTTCGTTCCAGTCCCTCCCACTCCCTCCCAGTTTGTCCCAGTCCCCTCCCAGTCCCCTCCCAGTTTGTCCCAGTCCCCTCCCAGTCCCTCCCAGTCCCCTCCCAGTTTGTCCCAGTCCCCTCCCAGTCCCTCCCAGTTTGTCCCAGTCCCCTCCCAGTCCCTCCCAGTTTGTCCCAGTCCCCTCCCAGTCCCTCCCAGTCCCCCCCAGTCCCTCCCAGTGCCCCGGTCCCGGGGTTACCCAGCAGCCCCTGCAGCAGGTAGAAGAGCAGCCCGATGGCGCCGTTGGGGACGTTCAGGGCGCTGTCCCCGCCCAGCACCGGCTCCACCAGCCCCAGGCCACGCCCCCACCTGGAAAAGGGGCGTGGCACCACCGAGACACGCCCACAGCCCAGACTGACACGCCCCCATGCCCATATATGGTGTGCGCAGGTGGGTAAGCCACACCCCTTGTGGGGTTTTAAAGCCACACCCCCAGATTGCACTGGTGCTTTGGTGCTGTAAGCCACGCCCCCTTAGAGAAGCCACACCCATTCCTCCCCCAATCTTCATGTCCATATATGGTCATAGCTAGGTTAAACCACACCCCCACACCCATATACGGGCATGGCATGGCCACACTGCAATATGACAAGCAGAAGCCACGCCTTCATGCCCATATATGGAAACAACAACACAAACCACGCCTTCATGCCCATATATGGAATTAACCAACATAAACCAAGCCTCCATGCCCATATATGGAAACAACAACACAAACCACACCCTTATGACCTTATATAGACACAAGCACCTCCTCTATGCCCATATATGGGCATAAATGCTATAAGCCACTCCCCCTCATGAATACAAGCTTAAGCCACACCTTCACAGCTATACAGGGGTGTGACAAAGCCACGCCCTCTTCACCATATATGGTGCAATCCAAAGCCACGCCTCCACATCCATATATAGACACAACATGTAAGCCACGCCCACTGTGACCATATATGGGCACAAGCCACGCCCTCACACCCATATATGGACATACAGAACCTGCCATTATGCCATATATGAGGGTAATTAACATAAGCCCGCCCCTAAACAAAGACACGCCCCCACACCCACTCCCGCCATTTTAAGCTCCGCCCCTTTCCCCTCACGACCCCCGCCCACAGCGCCCCCTAGCGGCCCGCCCTTCCCCTCACACCATTGGCCGCCGCCTCACGCAAGCCCCGCCCACTCCCGTTCCCGCCCTCCTCCTCCCGTTACTCCCGGTGCTTTTACCGGGAGGAGAACACCCGGGTGCAGGACACGGAGGGCCCCAGGTCGCAGGCGGCTCGGTACGACGGGTCCCTCGCCGCTTGGTGTTCCACATGCAGAGCGTACAGCGACAGCGCCGCGCCCGCCACGCACAGCGCCGCCCGCAGCGCCGCCGCCATCGTTCAACCCCCATTGGGCGGCGCCGCTGCCACTCCCACCTCCCCTCTCCGCTGATTGGCCAACCACGATAAGGTACTGCCCTATTTCCGGTTTGGGCGCGGTGGTTGATGGGAGGTGTAGTTCTTCGCGTTTGCGCATGCGCGGTGGTGTGAGGGGGAAGGAAGGGCGCGAATAAAAAATGGCGGGAGCGCGGCCAAGATGGCGGCGGGGAGCTGAGTGAGGGCTCGACCCCGGCCCCGCCGCTCCGGAGCCCCCCGGAGGCACCGGGGGAAGGCCGGGGGTCGGTGAGTGAGGCCCGGAGGGGTCCCGTGGTGGCGGGGACGGGAGGGAATTGATGGGGAGGGGTCGCGGTGACGTCACGGGGCAAGATGGCGGCGGCGGCCTGAGGGGGGGTGAGGGAAGGGGGGAGGGAAAAGGTGGGAGATCCCCTCAGGGAGCGAAATAAAGCACTGGGAGCGGGCTGGGATCAAACTGGGAGCACTGGGAGCAAACTGGGATTTTTCCATCCCAATTTTTCTGTCACATCGTAAAATGTATTTCTCTTTTTCCCCCCCCAAATCCCCAATTTTCCCTAAATTCCCTCCCCATATTTCCCTTTTCTGTTGAATTTCTCCAATTTTCCCAAATTCCCCTCTTTCCCCCCACTAAATCCCTAATTTTCTCCTAATTTTCCCCAAAATTTCCCCTCCTTTTCTCCCCAAATCCCCAAATTTTCTCCCCCAAATCCCAATTCCCTCTCGTTTACCCCCCATACCCCAAATTTTCCTCCAAACCCCCAAATTTGCCCCCTAAACCCCAAAATTCCCATATTTCCCCCAAATTTCCCTGTTTTTCCCATCGCCTCCCCATATTCCCCCCCAAACCCCTGATTTTCTTGTTTTTCCCAAATTTCCCCATTTTCCCCCAATTTCATCCCCAAATCCCCAAATTTCCCCAATTTTTCCCTCTCAAATCCCCAACTTTCCCAAATTTCCCCCCAACTTTCCCCATTTTCCCCCCAAATTTCCCCAATTTTTTCCCTTCCTCCCAACTTTCCTTGATTTTCCCATATTTTCCCAAAATTTCCCCATTTCCCCCCAAATTTTCTCATTTTTCCCCCCAAAATTTCCCTTTTTCCCACCAAAATTCCCCATTTTCCCCAAATTTCCCCATTCTCCCCAAATTTTTCCCCCCAATTTCCCCCCAAATTTCCCCATTTTCCCACAAATTTTCTCATTTTTCCCCCCAAATTTCCCCCATTTCCCCTTTTCTCCCCAAATTTCCCCATTTCCCCCAAATTTTCCCCAATTTCCTCATTTTTCCTTAAACTTTTCCCCCTTTCTTGCCCAAATTTCCCAAAAATTTCCCAAATTTTCCCCTTTTTTCCCCCAAAATTCCCCATTTTCCCCCAAATTTTCTCATTTTTTTCCCCCCAAAATTTCTCCCATTTCTCCCTTTTGGCCCCAAATTTCCCCATTTCCCCCCCCAATTTCCTCATTTTTCCTCACACTTTTCCCCCCCAAATTTCCCCAATTTCCCCCCTTTTCTCCCCAAATTTCCCCAATATTCCCCAAATCTTTCCCTTTTTCCCCCTAAAATTCCCCATTTTCCCCAAATTTTCACTCCCCCCCCAAAATTTCCCCAATTTTCCCTCTAAATTTCCCCATTTTCCCCCAAATTTTCTCATTTTTTTCCCCCCAAAATTTCTCCCATTTCTCCCTTTTGGCCCCAAATTTCCCCATTTCCCCCCCAAATTTCCTCATTTTTCCTCACACTTTTCCCCCCCAAATTTCCCCAATTTCCCCCCTTTTCTCCCCAAATTTCCCCAATATTCCCCAAATCTTTCCCTTTTTCCCCCTAAAATTCCCCATTTTCCCCAAATTTTCACTCCCCCCCCAAAATTTCCCCAATTTTCCCTCTAAATTTCCCCATTTTCCCCCAAATTTTCTCATTTTCCCCCCCCATTTCCCCCCCAAATTTCCCCATTTTCCCCCAAATTTCCCCAATTTTCCCCCTAAATTTCCCCATTTCCTCCAAATTTTCTCATTTCCTCTCCCAAATTTCCCCAATTTTCCCCCTAAATTTCTCTTTTCTCCCCCCAAATTTCCTCAATTTTCCCCCTTTCCCCCCCAAATTTCCCCAAATTCCCCATTTCTAGGCAGGTTTAGGATGGATTTAGGAAGGTCTGGGGTGGATTTTGGGGGCTCGGGGCAGGTGTGGGCTCCTGCCGCTCCGGAACGTTCCGCTGCCGCGCCGCCTGCCCACGCCCGAGCCCCCCAGCCTGCCCGAGCTGCCCCGCGAGCCCGGCGCCAGCCCCGCGCACCCCCGCCACGAGGAGAAGTACCTTTGGGGGGAAAAATGGGGAATTGGGGAAAAAACCGGAAATTTTGGGAAAAAAATGGGGAAACGCCCGAGCCCCCCAGCCTGCCCGAGCTGCCCCGCGAGCCCGGCGCCAGCCCCGCGCACCCCCGCCACGAGGAGAAGTACCTTTGGGGGGAAAATGGGGAATTGGGGGATTTTTTTGGGATTTTTTTGGGATTTTTTGGGTGGATTTTGAGCGATTTTTGGGGATTTTTAGTGATTTTCGGGCGGATTTTTGGGCCATTTTAGGGGGATTTGGAGCCATTTTGGGGCCATTTCAGAATGATTTAGGATGGATTTTGGAAGGTTTAGGATGGATTTAAGAAGGTTTAGGATGGATTTAGGCAGGTTTAGGATGGATTTTGGGGCATGGAAGATGGATTCATGAAGGTTTAGGATGGATTTTAGGGGATTTGGGATGGATTTAGGAAGGTTTAGGATGGGTTTAAGAAGGTTTAGAATGGATTTGGGATGGATTTTGGGGGATTTGGGATGGATTTAGGAAGGTTTAGGATGGATTTAGGAAGGTTTAAGATGGATTTGGGATGGATTTGGAATGGTTAGGAAGGTTTAGTCTGGATTTAGGAAGGTTTGGGCTGGATTTAGGGGATTTAGGATGGATTTAGGATGGATTTTTAGGAAGGTTTAGGATGGATTTAGGCTGGATTTAGGGTGGATTTAGGGGGATTTAGGAAGGTTTAGGATGGATTTTGGGGGATTTAGGCTGGATTTAGGATGAATTTAGGGGAATTTAGGAAGGTTTAGGATTGATTTAGGAAGGTTTGGGATGAATTTTGAGGCCTTTTGGCGAATTAAAGGAGATTTTGGGTGATTTGGGGGAATTTGGGATGGATTCGGGTGAGTTTGGGGTTATTCAGAGTGAGTTTGGGGCAGATTTTGGGGCCTTCTCCAGGATTTTGCTGCAGCTCAAGAAAAATTCTGTGTCCAGTTCTTCATTTGGGTTAAAATCCTGCAAATTCGGAACTTCCCAGACCCAAACCCCCAAAGTTTAACCCAAAACCCCCAAATTTTCCCTATTTCCAACTCCGGGTTTATCCCCAAAAATCCCAAAAGGAATTTTTGCCCAATCCGAAGGAATTTTAACCCAAAATTTGCGTTTTTCAGGCCCCCTCCCCCCACGGAATTCGACTTTGACGACGAGCCCCTCCCCCCCAACCCCGCCCTCATCGACCGGCGCCGCACCCCAGGTACAAAAAACCCAAATTTGGGGCTTTTTGGGGCATTTTGGGGGGATTTGGGCTTTTTGGGGGATTTGGCGGGAATTTTCAGTGGTTTGGGGTTTTTTTGAGAATTTTTTGGGGGTTTTTTGGGGTAATTTTTTGGGGTTTTTTGTTGGTTTTGGGGAGATTTTTGGGGCAATTTTTAGGTTATTTTGGGGCAATTTTTAGGTGATTTTGGGGCAATTTTTAGGTAATTTTGGGTGATTTTTACAGCGATTTTTTGGCTGATTTTGGGCTGATTTTTGGGGCGACTCGAGCTGATTTTTGGGGCGATTGGGGCTGATTTTTGGGGCGATCGGGGCTGATTTTTGGGGCGATTTTATGCTGAGTTTTGGGGCGCTTCGGGCTGATTTTTGGGGCGATCGGGGCTGATTTTTGGGGCGATTTTCCCCCCACGGAATTCGACTTTGACGACGAGCCCCTCCCCCCCAACCCCGCCCTCATCGACCGGCGCCGCACCCCAGGTACAAAAAACCCAAATTTGGGGCTTTTTGGGGCATTTTGGGGCTTTTTGGGGGATTTGGGGGAATTTTCAGTGGTTTGGGGTTTTTTTGAGGATTTTTTGGGGGTTTTTTTGGGGTAATTTTTTGGGGTTTTTTGTTGGTTTTGGGGAAAATTTTGGGTCAATTTTTAGGTTATTTTGGGGCAATTTTTAGGTGATTTTGGGGCAATTTTTAGGTAATTTTGGGTGATTTTTACAGCGATTTTTTGGCTGATTTTGGGCTGATTTTTGGGGCGACTCGAGCTGATTTTTTGGGCGATTGGGGCTGATTTTTGGGGCGATTGGTGCTGATTTTGGGGAGATTTGGGCTGATTTTTGGTGCGATTTTATGCTGATTTTTGGGGCGCTTTTATGCTGATTTTTGGGGTGATTTGAGCTGATTTTAGGGGCGATTTTATGCTGATTTTTGGGGCGATCGTGGCTGATTTTTGGGGCGATTTTATGCTGATTTTTGGGGCGATCGTGGCTGATTTTTGGGGCGATTCGAGCTGATTTTTGGGTCAATTTGGGGCTGATTTTTGGGGCGATTGGGGCTGATTTTTGGGGCGGTTCGAGCTGATTTTTGGGGCGATTTGATGCTGATTTTTGGGGCGATTTTATGCTGATTTTTGGGGCGATTTGGGCTGATTTTTGGGGCTATTGGGGCTGATTTTTGGGGCGATTTGAGCTGATATTAGGGGTGATTTTATGCTGATTTTTGGGTGCGATTTTATGCTGATTTTTGGGGCGATTCAAGCTGATTTTTGGGGCGCTTTGGGCTGATTTTTGGGGCACTTCGGGCTGATTTTTGGGGTGATTCGAGCTGATTTTTGGGGCAATTTGATGCTGTTTTTTGGGGCGATCGGGGCCACCCCAACCCCCCACATCTGCTCCCCCCCAGGGCCGCCGAGCCGCGGGCAGAAGCGCGAGGCGCGCCTGGACAAGGTCCTGTCGGACATGAAGCGCCACAAGAAGCTGGAGGAGCAGATCCTGAGGACCGGCCGCGACCTCTTCCCCCCCGAGGGCCCCCAGAGCCCCAAGCGGCCCCCGGGGCTCTTCCTCCGCCACAGGAAGTACTGAAAAATGAAAAAATTAAAATTATCCTCACTTGTCCTGGCCTTGAGTCGGTTTGGGGGGATTTGGCGCCGTTTTGGGGATTTTTACATTGATTTTTGGGTGATTTTCGGGATTTTTAGGTTGATTTTTGGGTGATTTTTGGGATTTTTATGTTGATTTTTGGGTGATTTTCAGGATTTTTAGGTTGATTTTTGGGTTATTTTTGGGATTTTTACATTGATTTTTGGGGTTTTTACATTGATTTTTTTGGGGTTTTTACATTGATTTTTGAGAGATTTTTGGGATTGTTACGTTGAATTTTGGGTGATTTTTGGGATTTTTACATTGATTTTTGGGGATTTTTACATTGATTTTTGGGTGATTTTCGGGATTTTTAGGTTGATTTTTGGGTGATTTTTGGGATTTTTATGTTGATTTTTGGGTGATTTTTGGGATTTTTATGTTGATTTTTGGGTGATTTTTGGGATTTTTATGTTGATTTTTGGGTGATTTTTGGGATTTTTATGTTGATTTTTGGGTGATTTTCAGGATTTTTTGGTTGATTTTTGGGTGATTTTTTGGATTTATATGTTGATTTTTGGGTAATTTTGAGGATTTTTGTGGTGGTTGTTGGGTGATTTTTGGCAATTTTTGGGCCAATTTCTTGGCAATTTTTGAGTGATTTGGGGGATTTTTATGGTGATTTTTTGGGTGATTTTGTGATTTTTAGGCTGATTTTGGGTCATTTTTGGGTTTTTATGGCAATTTTTTGCACTGAATTTGGGGATTTTATGGTGATTTTTTTGGCAATTTATGGGATGGTTTGGGGGAGTTTTCCAGCAATTTTCGGGCTGAATTTGGGGATTTTTACATTGATTTTTGGGCAATTTTTAGAATTTTTACTGCGATTTCTGCCGTTTTCACAGCAATTTTTGGGGCAACTTTTACAACAACATACTTTATTTCCATAGCAAATTTACAGCGCAAACCCCGAGTGCAAAAAAAGCCCCAAAACCCCCCGAACTCCCCCCAAAACAAGCCCCGGATCCCTTCACTCGCTGTCGGAGCTGACGACGCCGCGGAGCCGCGACCAGTCCGGGGGGGGAGGGGCCATTTTGGGGCCATTTCGGGCCATTTTGGGGCAATTTTTGGGGCGATTATTTGGGATCTTTAGGTTGATTTTTGGGATTTTTTTTGGGATTTTTGGGGCAATTTTTGGGGATTTTTGAGATTTTTACAGTGATTTTTGGGGTGATTTTTGGGTGATTTCAGGGATTTTTGCAATGATTTTTGGGATTCTTATGGTGATTTTTGGGGTGATTTTTTTGGTCAATTTTTGAGATTTTTAGAGCGATTTTTGGGATTTTTAGGGTGAATTTTGGCTGATTTTTAAGGTGATTTTTGGGTGATTTTAGGGATTTTTGCAGTGATTTTTGGGGTGAATTTTTGGGTCAATTTTTGAGATTTTTAAGATTGATTTTTGGGATTTTTAGGGTGAATTTTGGCTGATTTTTAGGGTGATTTTTGGGTTGATTTTGGGATTTTTACAGTGATTTTTGGGGCTCTTTAAGGCAATTTTTAGGGTGAATTTTTGGGTCAATTTTTGGGATTTTTACAGAGATTTTTGGGGTGATTTTTGGAATGATTTTAGGGATTTTTACAGTGATTTTTGGGGTGATTTTTGGTGCCCTTTAAGGTGATTTTTAGGGTGAATTTTTGGGTCAATTTGTGGGATTTTTACAGCGATTTTTGGGCTTTTTATGGAGAATTTTGGCCTATTTTTAGGGTGATTTTTGGGTCAGTTTTGGGGATTTTTACAGCGATTTTTGGGGTGATTTTAGGCAATTTTTGGGGCAATTTTACCCATTTTAACGACAACTTTTACAACAACATACTTTAT